TTTTGAGAAAAGTTTAACCAGATTTCATTAAAAAAGGAGGAAGTACATGAGGTGATGTATACAGCAGGGGAGAACCCTGAATAGCTTACAAAGGAGGAAGTCTATCATTATACATATTTTCTAAACAGGCACCCAATTTAGCTAAGCTATCTGCTATAGGATTATGCTCCCTTGGGATCCAAAACAGGTTTGCATTTAAGCTGTCCAAGGAGTCCCTTGCTTCTGCCAAATAATGGCTTAACCTCCAAGGTCCCCCCCTTCCTTGTCTGAATACCAAAGCTTTTAGCTGTTCTGATTCCAGTGAGAGCAGCCAACACTTCAGCTTTGGTTGAGTTAGTGAATCCAATTGGGCCACTGAAAACCCAGCAAAAATTACCTCTTTCGTCCCTTAATATTACCCCCAATTCCAGCTGGGCCTGGATTTCCTGCTGTCCCATCGAAGTGTAAAATTGTCCCTCCTTCAATTAAGAATGCTGGGTGTCTTAAGGAAGTCTATGTAGGGTGAGGGAGGAAAAGAACAGTTTGTAAATTTCTGTTAAGGTCATTAACTGAGAGACCTTGGAACAGCTCTGAATTAGCAGCCCAAAAGTTACAGATATAGGTAATATCTGAAATAAACTTTTCTAGAGTTCTAATCTTGTTTTCAAATAATTGCTTGTTTCTTTCCTCCCAAGCTCCCCCCATTACTGCATGCATCACCATTTTCCAGTAGGCTTTGCCTCTTTTGCTTAGGGCATGGCCCTGCCACTGATGGATAAAGTCTTGAATATGCTCTGGGTTAACCTAATGGTAACCTGTGAGGTTTAAGAAATGCAACAGACCTTTTGAGATTTACAATGGATAAGTAGGTGGTCAGCTGTTTCTCCATCTTGTAGGCACAGATAGTGAGCGTGAGGAGAAATATAAAGTCTTCCCAAACTTCTCTTTTGAAGGAGATCATAGGTATTTCTTCTGTGTAAACAAGCTTCCCATACAAAAAAAGCAAACTCTAGAAGGGATGTGATTACACCAGATTTTCTTGAAGGGGAAGAAGAAGCTGTGTTCACCTGTTGAAAGAGCCTTGAACAGAGACTTAGAAGAGAACTTGCCATTTGGGTGGAGGGTCCACACTTGGGTGTCAAGGAAAAAGGGGGAGATGTAGACGATGGTTTGGATGACGGCTACAATGTCTGAAATTTCTTGGTCTCTTAAGGGTCTTCTGAGGTGTAAGTTCAGGTTGTTGTCAGCAGGAAGGTTGGGAGTATAGACAGAAACAGTTGAATCTTTGTCTGGGGAGAGGTTATAGAGTCTAGGGAAGGTAGCTGCTAAGGAAGAATTTCCCCACCAAAGGTCTTTCAAGAATTTTATTTTAGAGCCATTCCCAATCTATATCTAATAAAAGAAAAGAAGACATAATGTGAGGAGACTTTACCTTTCCAAGGATTTGGAGACTTTACCTGATTCAAAAGGAGATTTCTATCCCATCCGTTGTTGCTTAATCCATATTTGCTTGTGATGACAGCTGTCCAAAGAGCATTGGATTTGATAGGGAACCTCCATAGCCATTTGCCCATAAGGGAAGTATTTTTCTCTTTTAGATGTCCAACCCCCAATCCCCCTTCCTCCTTTGGCTTGCAAACTTGATTCCAGCTTACCAAATGATTTCTTTTCTCCCCGACATCCCATAGAAAGTTTCTTTGTACTTTTTCTATTAGATTTCTCACTTTCGTCGGGATTTGAAAGACTGAGAGGTAGTGGATAGGGAAATTTGTTAGGGAGGCCTTTAAAAGTGTGTCTCCCCCCTTTAGAAAGATAACATCTCTTCCAGGATGCTAACTTCTTTTTCACTTCTCCATCATTGGCCCCCAAAAACGTAAGGATCTTGGGTTTCCTCCAAGGGGCATCCCCAAGTACGAGATAGGGAGATTTTCCACTTTACAATCCAGCACTGATTTGAATAGTTCTAGGAGTTCCTTTGTTACAGAATTTATGGCAACAATGCTGCTTTTACTAAAATTGATCCTCAAACCTGTGATTAATTCAAAGCATTCAATTATCCTTTTGTATTTGTGATGTTTTATAAGGAAGCATTCGGAAACAAGATGATATCGTCAACAAACTGTAAATGTGAAATAGGAACCAAATTTCTCTACATTTCAAACCCTTTCACTAGATTTAGAAGGTTAGCTTTCTCAAAAAGATGATTGAAGATGTCCATCACCAAAGTGAAGAGGAAAGGAGAGAGTGGGGTGGGCATCCTTGTCTGAGCCCCCTGTTAGCCTTAAAGTAACATTTTGGTTCCCCATTTACTAACATTGAAAACCAAGGAGAGTTAATGCAGCCTTTAATCCACCGAATCCATCTACCTCCAAAGCCTCTCAATTTCAAGTAGTCTAAAATACAATCCGCAATGTTATAGGAGCCTTGTTATCATAATATAAGGACATGGGATTATCAACTATAAACCCCAGCTCACTCAACAAGTTCTTAATCCATATGATCTCAGCCACTCCATGAGACATTGCCCGGTATTCAACTTTAGCACTAGACCTAGTCATAACACTTTGTTTCTTGCTTCTCCATGAAACTAGGTTTCTTGCTTCTCCATGTAAGGGAGAAAAGGACTCTGATAGAGTTCACCTTCGCTATCGGAGCAACTGTTTCTGCATAATCCACTACATTCACTTGAGTGAATCCTTTTTCTACTAACCGAGCATTATATCTTTCTATTGTTCCATCAACTCTATGCTTTACTATGAAAACCGACTTACATCCCACTAGTTTTTTTATTTTTTTTCCCTTCAAGAAGGTCTACCAATTCCCATGTGCCATTTTTGTGTAAAGCATTGATCTCTTCTTTCATTGCATCTGTCCATTCAAGTACTAAGAGGGCTTTTGCGGCATTTTTTGGAATAGGGACATTGTCAATGGAAGAAAGGAAAGCACGAAAAGAGGTTGAGATGTTCTCGTAAGAGGCAAAATGGGAAATGGGATGTTAAGTAGTGCAAGACCTAACACCTTTCCTTTGAGCAATAGGAAGGTTTAGGCCATTAACAATAGAAGTATCAATTTCAATGGGGTCGGACATATCATTGTGAATAAGAGTACTTGGTTGGATATAAATCTGTCCCTAGGGAATCTAGTGGCACTAGTGTTACAACATCCGGATGCTCCACGTCCCTTGAACTTGGTTGGTCCTTACGACAATGAAAGAAGACACAAAATAGAAGAAAAATCAGGAAGAGAAGGGAGGTGAACTTGATTATGTTTCTCTTCAACCCTACTACTCTCCCCCCGAGGGGAAATTAAGAAATAAGGGTCACTCTCAGGAAAGGACACATCCATAGAAACATAGTATTTCTGGGAGATGGGATCATAACACTAGTAACTTTTTTGAGAAGAGGGATACCCTAGGAAAACACATGGAATAATACGAGGTTGAAGTTTACCACTAGTGGGGGATAGATCTTGAACGAAACAACACCCAAAAACACATAGAGTAGGGAATAGGGGAGCCTTGGGAAACTGAAGCTGATGTGGGGCCTTGTACTCCAACCATCGAGAAGGCATATAGTTGATAAGATATGTACCACAGAAAACAACTTCCAGCCAAAAACGTTTTAGAACATTCATATGTATAAGTAACCCACAGGCAACTTCAAGATGGTGGTGGTTTTTTCTTTTTGCAACACCATTTTGTTGAAGTGTTTGAGCATAAGAGTTACGGTGAAGGGGTCCATGTGAAGAAAAAAACTCCATGAGGTCACTATGGAAATACTTTCTAGTGTTGTCTGATTGGAAGATTTGAATTTCGGCTTGGAATTGGGTAAAAACCATTTGTTGGAAATCTTTTACAATTTTGGGTATTTCATCCCTAGACCGCATTGTATACACCCATGTATACTTGGAATAGTCAGCAAGGAAAATCATATTTATTATTTCTTAAAGGAAAATGGGTTTTACATTGTTTGCTCAACTGGCAAGTTCGACACAAATTCAGACATTGACACTGACTTAAAGAGCTCTGGAAACAAAACTTTTAATGATTCAAAAGATACACGACCAAGACAACTGTGCCACAAATTGACCTAACTCTTATTA